ATTTATTTGTAAATGAGCCTGAGTACTTTCTGTACATTTTGTATTTTTGTTTTGCATATTCACGTGTAAATAAAAGAGAAGTAATTATGTACATTGTTATTTTTTTAATGCAGCTTATAATTTTTTCACAAAAAATTCTTCTATACGTTTTTTTACACATTAAAACAAATTGTTCTATACATTACTGAAAGTACTTTTTACAACTATTTACAACATAGCTTAGGTTGAACATCAGAAAAAAACTAATTTCGAGCCCAGCCCTGCCTCCATGTGTTCTGGGGTCTTCAGGAGGTGACACTCTTGGTGAATGGCCAGCACCTACTCAGCGACTCGGAGGACAATGCGGTGATAGTGGAACGAGGCATGTTTTGTGTGCACTGGGAATCATATTTTTTCAAATAAAGCCAAGGTAATGTAAGGAAATTAACTCTTTTGAGAGGGGAATCGAATCTGAAGATTCTTTGTTTTGGTGATTTCAAATATCAACATTGGCTACCAGAAATCGCTTACTCTGCCTTTAAGGGGTAGAAATGGGATTGGGCCTATATGTCAGTAAAACACTCTCCTGTCCCACCAGCCGTTTTACTGTGCTCACGGCGCACACTCTTCAACAGTACACAAATATGTGGCGCACGCTCTATATCACTTCATCATAAATAACCCGCACAAGAAACCATGAGCATAAATAGCTAGTTCTGTCGTCAGCTAATTTATGAAATTACCAAAAAGGTGATTAAAGCTGCAAACTGTGCATGTATGTATACGCAGCACACAAGAACGTCTCTCAAATGCATGTACTAAAATATATTCTGCAATTCGAGATCACAATATAAGGCACAAGCTGATATGTATTTTTTATTTGTAATTTAATGCACAAATAAATGTGAGCACAGTGCACATACTAGAAAATATGCGAAAATTAAACCATTTTGTATATATATTCTGGCATTTATGTCTACTGTTGACTTCCGGCCTTTTCCACATTTTTATCACTATCTGCATGTCTCATCCATGAGTATGCAATGTTGGAGAGCAAGCATTTGGGAGTTTTGAGAAGCTGAATGAGCAATAAAGCTATAGTGAGCCCTTTATTAAAATACCTGGAGGTGAGGAATAATAAAAAAAAATGGTCATATTCACTCAGTATTACTTGATCTAATTCACAAATATCTCAATTACAGTTAAGTAGACATTAATTGTACTCAGCTGTGTTTTAGGCACTAAAACAGTCCAGTAGATTATAGTCAAACACATTTTTATGTTGAAATAATGAAGATTTCTGTGCCACCCCAGACTGGTTGCTGGACCCTCCCTGGCCACGCCTATGAAAACATCCTGGCTCCGCCACTGTCACGAAGGGCTTGTGTAGTTTGCGTGTCGGTTGTTGCTTCTAAAAAACTGGATGGAATATTGCGCCTCAGGCCGAGAGCCGACAGAGAGCGAGATTAGCACAACAGGTTATTCACACACACTGAACACACGCGGGCTTCTGAAGCTTTATTAGTGTCGACTTTTCATAGAATGATAATGAAATTTACCTGATGGCTTTATTAGCTTTACTACAAAACATGATTTGACCGATAAATACATGCTTTCGCGTTTTCGAGGACATTAATACGTTCCTTAATATGAGATCTTATGAGGCTTTCCTTCAACACAAATACAGATATAACGACCGAACACATCTGTCGAAGCTATTCAGATACTGTACATCGACTGTCAAGAATAAACGGGATGCGTTATGTTTTAGATTAATTATGTATTCTGTGCCTGGTAATGCCGGATATTTATTTGGGATTACACTCGTATTGTATAGCGTGAAAATACTCTTAATTTTCACACTAATTTTCAACTTTTAGAGGTCAAATGAGACGCGCAGTAAACACGGATTCAGTCTCGTTAAGCGAATCGGTGCGTCGGATGAATTCCAAGTGGAAACGCGTCTCTTAACAGATTTGCTTTTCTCAGCTCGAAGGTAAACATAAAGCAATAACAGACTAGACTTGTGCCGGTATTCGGTAATGCGATATATCACGGTAATGAATATACACGATATTGTTATCGTGGTCACTTCTAAATACCGTGAATAATTATATATTACAAATTATTTAGAATTTTGAATGCATTTTAAGAATACTTTTCCCATCAATTGGTCAAAAAATGTAGCTATTGCTTATTGAGAATGTTAATGTTTTAACTAAGGTTAACTAATGAGGTCTTATTGTAAAGTGATACCTATTGGTCTTTATAGTTCTTTTGCACTTTAATCTGTGTAAAACTTTTAACTTTATACATTTTTCTGTATTGCTTTATTGCATTTAAATGTTCAGTTATTTTTGTTATAAGAAAAATGTTATTAAACCTGTTATACTGTATTATGACAGCACTTTTATTTCAACTAAATTGCAATATCGTGATAATACCGTATACCGTGATAAAAGCATTATCAATTAATCGCAACATGATAATTTGATACCGGCATATCCCTATAACAGACTAACACCCAATTGAATATTAATTGAAAACACCCGTCTGTCAAACTGACATCTGTTCAAGTGAAACAAAAAGTATAAACACCACTTTTATACGTGACTTATAGCGCGCTCAACATCAATCCAAACAAATAAACGCAGAAATTTTGCCTATAAGTGTCATTAAGTGTCTCAGCTCTTCTGTTCAAATGTTAAAGCCCATTATTGGAAAGATGCCTTACCTTCTCACAAATCTTGGAAAACGTTCCTGATTTGCCTAGAAACCATTAAAGCAGCCACGATCCTCATACGAACCACGGCCGTTCGCGACAGGAACGGCGGCAGCAGCAGCAAGACGCCCGGCTCCGTAATTCCTTCAGATGTTCGGGAATCAGATGTTCAGCAGCAGACGCCCGGCTCCGTGTTTCCTTCGGATGTTCGGGAATCAGACTCCGGAGCTGCGTTCGCTACTTGTATATTGCGCGCACTTCGTGCCAAAATCAAACGACCGACCGACCGATCGAACGTCTATCTGAACGTCTTGAGCTTTGAGCGTCTTACACTGCGGGTGACCCAGCTGACGACCTGACGCGACGTCAGCGCGACAGTTGCTCTTACATTTAAGGTAAAAACTTTCAATGTTCTCATGAACTGCTAGAATCTGTGAGTAGATGTTTAATGAGGTTATGAAATATAAACATGTTCAGTTTTCATAAGAGCTGATGTTTGCATTTACAGAGATGTCTATTGATCAAAGATGAATATATCCTCCTGAGACCCAGACTGATGTCTGATCTACTGTAGAGTAGACATACACACTATATATATACACAGTTGAAGTCAAAAGTTTACATACACCTTGCATAATCTGCGAAAGTGAAATATCTTATCCAAAATAATAGGGATCATACAAAATGCTTGTTGTTTGTCCGTGGCCGATTCAGGGATGGAATGATAACTATATAGCGCTCACACATAAAATAACATTCTGTTTATTAGAATCACTCTCTGCAGTTTTCACAATTGCTACATTTGTAAGGAAGGCTATCTTACAATCTTAGGGTATCATGAAGTAGATATCATAGGCTATATGTCTGATATAAATGTCAATGTATCTTATATAAATGGTCAGCATATTTTATGTACTATATTTGATTTTTATATATAGGCGTATACAAAGCAGATAGGATACTATAGTTGCAGATTTCGCTGCATTTGAATGTATGGTAATATTTCTATTAAATATGAAACATTCTGAAATTAGATGTCTGTTCCTGAAACTTTAGTCTTAATGGGAGATGGAGAAAAATTATGTGGAATATCTTTTGTGTTAGTTACGTTGCAATATTGGAAATATTTCTGTTTTGAACAATGAAAGCGAGCCAATTGATCACACAAGCAACGTGAAAATTTTGCGCAAGAGTTATGCAGAGTTATTAACCTCAGTCAATATTCAGAAGTGAACGTAAAAAAAGTAAAAACTGACGGAATCTGACACTGCATTAACGGCACACATTCTCTCAGAGATGACGAGAGACGAATACATAAGCTTCAACATATGCTGATAACAGTATAACTGTCTTAAATTATTCCCTTAATATTTTTTCTTGTGGCCCATACATAGTAGGCTATGGGCATTTCAATATGATTTGATATTCACATCAGTGCACATATAGGCTATCACATGCGCAATGTTTGGTGGGTGAACACAATAGATTGTACTTCGGAGTTCGGACTATTTAAATTGAGTTGTGTTACTTTTTATATGTTTGGTTGGCTTATTTTATTTTGATAATGATGTCAAGTGCTTGCACTGATGTGTGCGCGCAATTGAGGTGCCTACGCGATCACTTGAATTTGTTCCGTATGACAGCAGAAACAAAGAGAAGTCTGAGACATCACTATGAAACTATAAAGGGTCTACTTTTATTTGTGTACAGCCACAATAACAAAACACTATGCTTTTCAGAATAAAGAAAACAAACAGATGTCGCTTTCTGCCGTAGCCTATTGATTTCCTTTCCGAACTTGTTGAGCATTAGAAAAATGGACAGAAAGGGGCATATAAAACTTGTCGCAGTTTTTCTTTCGTTTTGTTAATCTGTGAATTATTTAGGCTTAGTCAAGTATATTTTGTGAAAAGGGCTA